TCGAATTCCTGCATCAGCCGCTGCACGGCACGCAACTGGAACAACATCAGAGACCTGTTCTTGTACAAGTAGAACAAGATATCAATCAGAGTCAGGATCATCAGGGAAATATAAACACAAATCCCAAGTTCCCTTCAATTCATGCTTAACCGACTAAAAAGCAATGAATAACAAACCACAGAAGAAGCATTTTAAGTACCACTAAATCAGCTTTGATGGAGGTGAGCCACTGCACTTCCGTTTTCAAGATTGAAGCCCGAGGTGCCACAGCCGTCTCCAAATACTAACACAGCCAAGCAAAAGAAAAGCAAACACAACAAAAATACCCAAAATTTAGTAATAATTGAAAAACAAAATCGAAAAGCAACATTACTTCATTGCCGGTATAAAAAATACAATTTAAAAAAACAGCAGATAGAAATTAGTCGCTACCTTCGCCAAGGAAGCAAGACGATCAACTGTTAAAGCATCTGCCTGAACAGCTCCACAGTCCAGAAGAACCTAGTATCCACACCATTCCATAAATTACCAAAATTTCAACTTTACATCGCTAATTTCAGGCTAAATCTTCAAAAATCATATAAATGATCACAATTTTGTTTACCATTACATTACATTACTAAAATTTCCACTGCAAAACTACTAATTTCAAGCTAAAATATCAAAAATCATATAAATTATCATAATTTTGTTTACCATTACATAAATTAGTGAGTTTCCACTGCTATATTATTAATTGCAAGCTTAAATTATCAAAAATTATAAAATAATTCTACAAACTTGTAATTTTGATGAATAATCATCATCGGCAGACATGCAAATTGCGAGCCTGAATTTGTAAAAGCGTTACCTTTCGAATGAAGAGGCGATGCGATTGAATCTCGGAAGTGAAGACGAAATCTGGAGCTCCGGTGACGACGTGGACATCGTGGCCGGCGAGAATCAGGTGCCGCGCAACCTACACTCACAGAATGCGGCGCTGATCAACAGCCAATGGAAACTCGACACAAAAAAATTTGAAAAGTTTGACTGATCGGAGTGAGAAATTGACCTCGACGACGCGAGTGGCGTGGCCGAAGCCGTGGCCAGTGACGTAGTAAGCGAAAACCAGGTGTTTCCTCGACGCCGACACTCCTTCGATCTCTTCGTCAATCCTCATTCTCTCTCTCCCTCCCCTCTTTCTCTCTCTAGAAAATAGCAGTTGCTGGCTGCTGCGGAGGAGGAGAAGAGAATGTCAGTTATAGAGGAAGAAGAAGAAGCGTTTGGGTAATTACGTAATTAAGGATAAGAAGATAGAGACGGTGTCGTTTTTGGAATAATTACGAAGGGATTGTGAGCGGGTTTTTGCCGGTTTTGATTTGATGTTTATCCTCTTCTTCTTTCCTTCTTCAGCTCCGCGGCTAGAGTTAGGTAATAATCCACGTCAATGCCACGTCAGTTTAGGATGGGCGATCTTCGCGCTTTCCGATGTCGTACAATCCGAAACAGCTCCGTCTTCCGAAGAGTCCGGGCAACAATGATTTGGGCTTTCGGAGAAGAGAGGATGATAAAGGGGATAATTGGTTGGGGGTTTGTTCGAATAACTTTTTTACAATAATGTTTCCCGAATTGAGGCCCAATTTGTTGGGAGGAATCTCAAGCAACCATCCATGATTGGAATCGAATGTATAACTGTATATTCGTAGTAAACTGTATGAAGAAATTATATGACACGGATACACAATCAATTTTATTAATCAAAGTAATGCAATATATTTATTTTGTTTTTGGTGACTTGTTATTTTAACAAAGTGCATTGTATTAATCCAGTAAATTAACGGATAATTAATCTCATCTTAATATCCAGTCCTCTAAAATACCTTTTTTTTTTTTTTTTACCAAACGGTATTATCTACACTAAGGGAGTGAGGGAGTGGACGAAGCCTCATAATGGGCTAGTAAAAATATGGTTCAAATTCTGATTTTACGATAATCAAACCTAAGACCTCTCACTTACAATCGTAATACTAAGTTGCAAAACACGCTACTTGAAGCACATAATTTTTTTATTAGGAAAACTAATGAAAAGAACTTGAAAACTTTAAGTTTTAACAATAAGAACAAAATAAATAGTAAAGTGAATAGTACCATGATTGACTTTTTAATGTAAAAATATGATTTTTCATTAAAGCAAATAGTATCAAAATCTTTTCGTTAAAGTACTCTTTCTTCTTTTTCCTAACATGCAATGTCCTCTTTCACATTCATCGCGCTAATCCACTCTTGCCCTTTGTTGTGGGTGAAGTCCATTTGTCCTTGTCAAAATTCAAATCCGGCCCAGGAAAAATGAAAGACAAGTACAACATCGGACCACTACTTTGACGGAAGAAGTTGGCTTGGGCCTTGGAAGAAACCAAATTCGAATGTACATATCTGTAATTTCGTATCCCCGCGAGGGTTTCTCCTCCCTTTATATACCGGTCGCTCATACAACCCTACAATTCCCTTTCAGCCGAATCCCTAATTGCTTCTCCTGTTTCTCTGTTTTAGGGTTAGGGTTTCTGGGTATATGTTTTCCATCTTGGATTTTGTGAAATTTAGATTTAGGCGAATTGAATTATGATTTTTATGGGGCTGGAGTTTGGCTCTTTGGCTTATTTACAACGGTGCCATAGAGATGAATGCAGCTTCCCTACATCAACCTCTCAACCTTTTCACCCAATTTCGCTACGATTTTTATTTACTCTGGCGATTTTTTCTGTTGAGGTTGATACATTTTTCCGTATTTATTTCAATTCAAATTTATGGATTTTGGTTTTTTTTTTCTTCCCATTTTTATTGATTTAAATTCAAATTTATGGATTTTGGTACTAGAATCGAGTGGTAATTCAGGCAGCCCCCTTGCGATGACGATAGTTTGGGAGGCGTTTAACTGCTCGTATATCGATTTGCTTTTGCTCTTCAGATTAGCTGAGATTTCCATCTTTGAAGCTTGTCTAGTAGGCATCAGTACATTTCATAATTGTTTTCAAGATTTTCCAATACTTCTACTATAAGAAGTGATTTTCGCACTTTTATTTTTTTTTCCGGACGTTCAACATGTATTTACAGCACCAATGTTTCTCCGATAAGAAGTCATCTTCGCACACTTTTAATACTTTCGATCGAATAAATCAAAAGGCAAATGAATCAGGATCTGGTCCAGAAATTAACTTTAACATTGAGATTTATCCCGAAATTGAGCTACAATACACGATTGGGGATCCCCGAAAACTAATCTGGGAATGAAACCGAAAGCAACCCGGAATTTCCACGGATTAAATTTATAAAATTTCCCCAGATGTGGCAGAATTCATCAGCAGCATAACCATTTCAGTTTGAACAAAATACTTGGTACCAGGTGGTATAAGTAAAGAAAGCACATCTCAACCAAAGTTGTTGTAAGATGTGAGTTATATTAAGTGACCGGAGTATAATTGTCCTGGAAGAGCTGTGGCTCCATCCAACGTAACTGCTGTTGCTGCCAGTATTGTATCCCACCGGGTCCTTCCATCATTGTTCCACCAAACCCCGATGCTTCCGCCCCATTGTAACCATTATCATCGGTGTCCATCATTTCAACTTCCATGGATTCCGACTGGCTTGCAGCCTGTGTCTCATCTCTTGATGCTGGTGGGAAGTTAGGTGCAACCCAGGGAACAACAGCCATACACCTATTTGAAACTTCTTTGTTTTCCTCATCGGACCCAAGATCCTCTACCGGTTTTAGCGATTTTGAATATCCCCATGAATAAATATGATCTGCCAGAAACAATTTGGTTAGTAAAAGGCACGATTTACAGATCAATTTCAAGTAAAGCTCAGATGGATACCACAAATATCTGTTCATTCTAGAACCGAAAACAAATCGCCGTTTTTCTGAATTGTAAACATGAGAACTTTGACATATGATTACATCGAAGAATAAGCTTACAACGGTACACAAAACAGATTTAAACAAAACATAGCAGCCACCTAGTCATCTCCATCAAAAGGTTACTGATAATATCAACACACATTGCAAAAAGATAACACACACAGTTGACATGATAGGAACTTGAGATTAGATTATATAACCACAATGATTTGCCACATATCTAAAACAAAGATGTTAAAGAGTAACACTAACAGCAATACAGATATCCAGAGGCTTACCCCTTAAACCCGGAATCAAGTCCGAATTCACAATGACAGAGAAATCCTGCGAATCGGGTGCTTTGAAAATCCGCGTATTCGTGGGGTTATAGAGCACAAGAGCCTTCTCATCCCCTGAAGGCAAAGGGTCCGTTGGCAAATCATCTGTTTGCATCACAACACTGGTTTCTGGTGCTGGCTTTTCATCAAACACCTGAGCTGCACTACTTTGGTCTTCATTCAAAGTTGCAAATAACCCAGCATCCTTCAAAATTCCACAACAAAAAACAATATTTACATAAAAAACTGCAACAATTTTGAGAAACAGAAAGTGGGTAGTAGTCCATAACCATATCATAAAATTTTGGTAACGAATTAATAGTCCATAACCATAACATAAAATTTTGGTAACCAATTGTTGAGAATTGAATAAAAGTGAAGAAAAAGCGCGGGAACAAACCCTAAATTGCTGGGAAATTGGGAATTGAAACAAATAAAAAAAGGAAAAATGGGGAGCGCAGAGAGCGTACCAGTCTCCTGGATTTTGAGGAAGGAGAGAAGAAGTCGTCGTCTAATTCTTCATAGTCTTTGCGCTTCATCTCTGCAATTCAAAAACCCTAATTCAATCTCTCTCTCTCTCTCTCCGTCAGCTTCCCGTGCTTCGCACCGTCTGGATTTTCGTTTTTAGGATTTTATTTTTATTTTTATTTATTTGGTTTTGGTTATGGTGGGTGGTTTCTTCTGGGGGTTTCTCCAACCTTCTTCCAATATCTTTTCTTTCACTAATAACAACACTTCCCGCCCATAATATACGGAAAAGGCCCAAGTCGATGGCCCCAATGAAAGCCCATGTATCGGAAAAGGCCCAAATTGATATCGTCAAACAATTTGAATTACCACTTCAAATTTGCATTGGTGGAGTGGCAATCTTGTAATTTAGTAGCCACGTCAGACTACACCTCTGCTATTCGGATATCGAGAAGATTAGCTGCAAGTCAATCCCAATGGCGGCGAAGACGACGACGACGACGTCCTTCGTCGCCGCCCGGAACCTCACTCCTCGACGTACTTCTCCCTCCTCGCCGCCAGCGACAAGTCGTTTCTTCGAGCCCCCGCATTGCTCGCCCTATCGTCCAACAACAACAAGAGGCAAGCAAACTGAAACTCCAAGTCGGTTTTCTGCAACCGCAGAAGTGTATACTTAGTTACAGTCCGACTGATTTGATTCCAGTTTTTTGCAAGGCTGAGGTGGCGATTCTCTGCGAAGATTGCGACGGGATAGGGTGGCTGCTTTGCGATTTTTGCAAAGGGCAGAAAACGAATGTGAAGTCCGAGACCAATTGAATCTACCTTCGATGGCCATCTTGCGGAGCTGTGAGTTTTGAGCTCCTCCTCCTCACAAAACCCAATAATTTTTTGTTTGAGAGGTTTGATTTTTATGGAATTTGAAGAGAAATATTTGATTTTTGGTGCTTTATTTTTAGGTTTTTTTGTTTTACATGTACTGGTTGAAAAATTATAATTCAGAAAAACACTTCAAACGTAATAATTTAAAAAAAAATCTGACTAACTTGATAAGGGAGAAAGGTTTCAACAACTAATAATCAATTAGAGAATGATACGTGAATAGACGACCTGTTTTCCTCAATTCCTTTCTTGAAGTGTTTCAGTGTAAAACTTGAAGTTGTCGGGGTGTTTTTTTATTCTAATAAACTATATTTTATGTGAATGCAGATTGGTCAGGTGTTGTGTTCAAAGTGCAAGGCATTCAAATGTGTCACATTCCCAAATTACAATGATGGTGAGAAGGTGTCTATTTAAGCCTCCAATTTCTTGTATCAAAGACGCTGCACCCGAAATTTCGAGTTTGATTCTTTCTTCCGCCAATACATGAATGTGATATGATTGTCGAATTCCTCCAATTTTTGTACAGCTTATGTTCATTTTTCAGGTTCTCATGTTTTATGTTTGTGTAGTTTTGTTTGAGAGGAAGCAATTTACAAGTGAAAAATGAGAAAACCATTTTCTGGTTTTTGTTGTCCATGTAAATTTATACATATTCTTTCTTCGTCCAGAGATAAATGGTTTTGTAAGAGAATTTTTTTTCCAAAGTTTTTCAAGAGATTGATTGGAGTAACAACTCTAACCCCAGGTTTTCATGAAAATTCAGCCCGTTTTACAGGATCTTACTGTGGATTTTTTTAACTCCAAACTGCATCATATTTTACATTTTCCTTGGCTTGATTGTCACCATTGACACATGGCTTTGCTTCCTCAAGTTTGAAACAGAAGAATGCACATGAACGAGCAAATTGTGAAACTAAAATCCGCCAATGTTAGATTTTCGGTGTTTATTACTTGATGCAAGTGCAAAATGTCTGCAATATAGTATTGTTTTACGCATCCAAAAGTCTTTAAACTAAGCATTTTGTTTCCGACTTTCTGCATCAAAGACATAGGATACCAACTGTAGAGGGTATATACAATAATACTTAAACCATGCTACGATCTCTGTACGTCTAGTTACGACCGTTATTGGTTTATGAGTTCCACAAATATGAACGATCTGAATTAATCTACATATGCGTACACATGACTTGAGTTAATATTTTCTTATAATTTAGTATATAGGTGACAAACTCAGACGAGTGGTTTGCTGACAACAAACTTACGTAGAATGCAAGTATTGAAAATCTAGAGGCTCTTACTATCTGACAACACTTTCGGTGTTAATAGCACTTGCTAGTACTATTGGTATTTTTCAAAGAAGTAATGATAGAGAAATTAAATTTGTAAATTAAATAACGTGAAAGTATTGAATTATTACTTAAGCATTGATAAACGTGCTCATTCTTATTGGTGACAAGTTATTTATTTATAAATTTTATCTACAAATTTAATCTCCTGCTATTATCCTTTTTCAAAGTTCATGAAACTGTCCTGACGGACGTGATTAAACATTTTTTTATTGGTGTCACCAGGAGAAATATTGACCAAGCCTCTTTTTTCTTTTGATTGAACCAGTCTCTTTTTCCCAACATTTCATTTTTTTAATTGGATACTGTGGATGCAAATTTCTTCCTCCTCGATCTTGGACGATTTTGCACCTACAAAACAATTAACACCTTAGGTTAAGGCCAAGAGCCTCACGCGCCCACGATGAATGGGGGGGGCTTTGGCCGAAGAACCTCCGATGCCAAAGTTAGAATTTAGAGAGAAAGAGTGTTTAGAGAATTTTGGGATTTTTGCCAAAGTGTTGGAATTGGCTTTTTGGTGAGAAATGAGAGTATATTTATAAGGATAGGAGGTGGCTAGGGTTTTTTGGGTTTGATTTAGGTTTAATTAGCCAATTTATTTGGCTATTAAACATAAAATGAATGTTTTGGTGGTTTTTTGTATAATTGGCTAATCAAATAAGGAAAAAATGAGGTAAAAACATATATGGAATGAAATAGGTTTTGAATCGTTACCCATTTTGGGTACTCCTGACTTGGTTGATGGATGATTCTCCACTGCTCGCGTGTAGGAAACTCGGTATGCCTCGAGGGTATTTTTGTCCTCTTTTGTCCAAAAGTCCACGTGTCGCCTAATGAATATTTTTGGCTCCACAAATGCCCCCACACCTGTTGGGCTGCTCGCAGAAAAGGGCAGCAGGTGTAGAGATCTTCTTGCTTTAGGAAACTTAAGACTGCTTCCTATTTTGATGTTGATTCTCTCTTTAATAGGAAATTAGATCCTTCTAGGAAAGGGAAATAAATTTCTCTCAAAGCCTATTTAAGTCCACCTTAAGTGGGTTATTAAATCAACTTTGGAGAGTGATTTATTCTACCCTACAAGAGAGAGATAGCTTAAAGGATATTTGTTCTCCCTCCTCTAGCAATCTTCTACATCTTGCCCGTGCAAATGACCGTCTTTCGTTGCTTTCTTCGTCTTCTTCGTGCCGCACCGATGTAAGAAAAATTTAATTTTTCTTGCCTTATTCTTGGATAGTGTTATTGCGGGGCAGCCGTCGGGGTGGTGCGGCACATCGGCTGGCAGGGCCAGGAGTTGGCTCGGCATGGGTCGAGGAGATGTCGTGGCAGGGACCACTGCTTGGGCAGCTTGGCTTGGCTTGAGCCAAAAGGCAGCTTGTGCAACTAGGGTCGCGGATTGTGGCGCTGGGGCGCAGTGCTAGGCGAGCCGCATGGCTCATATCCTTTGGGCTCTTGGACCTGACTCGGGCCAGGCTGGCGATTGAGAGAAATAAGGAGATTGCGGGTCTCATGGGATGCTGGAATGTTGGGCATACAGGCCTCCTGCCTGCTGGAATACTGGGTTGAGCTCCCCTGCTGAGTACCATGAATGTCGTTGGCTGCTTAGTCCTCTTTGCTGAAAGAAATGTGGGCTGCTCCGGAACGAGGAGGTAAAGAGGATCAAGGCGGATGCATTGGCTCGTCTGATCGCTGTCGTGGAGCTTACTATGAATGAAGATGGAAAGAAGAGATCTTCCCCGCCTGCTCATGAGATGCCAGTTAAGAAAAAACTGAAGACTTCTTCTGCTGCTCATGAGAGTCCGCTTGCTACTGAGGGGTATGTGATTGACATGACTTCTTCCAATGGGAAGAAATGTAAGGCTGCTAGATCTGAGCATGTGGCGTCTTCCATGTTGAGAATAGCTAGTACAATTGTGGATAAGATTACTCAGCGTAAAGGTTTTATCATGCCCCCAGTGCTGAAGTCTGTACCAGGACGTTTTTTGGGAGCCAAGTCCGGTTCACCTTTGTAGAGACTTGCTATTATGAAGAGTGGTAAGGTGGACTCTGCTGCTAAAGTGGCGCCAAAGCCTGCTCCATTTGCTGCTGAGATTGATTCGCCTCAGATTCAAGATCTTAAGCTTGCAATTTCTGAGCTTCGTTTCGCTGCTTATGCTAAGAAGGGAGTGGATGAGCTGCAGCGCGTCTGTGTTAGTCTGCTTAAGAAGAATGAGCAGCTGAAAGGTGAGAAGGATGGGCTTGAGGTTTTAAGACCTTCTCTATTTCTCCGAAAGACTTGCTTGCTTTTACTTTTAAGGCTTCCATTGGTGAAGTAGTTGGAGAAGTTAGTGCCCAGACTAGGGCAGCCGGGGGTGAAACGCCGGATGATGCCGCTGCTAAGAGCGTTACGGCTGTTGAAGGTATGGCGACCGAGTAGGCGTGGGATGTCCAAGCTGCTGTAGTGTAGTATTTTAGGTAGCCTTTAGGATTTTCTTTGTTTTTCCTTGTAGCTCTTGTTTTGCTTGAACTCATTCGGCCTTTGCTAGTTGTTTATAAACATGTTTTCCTTCGTTTTTATTCATCTTCACTTCTTTTGTTCATGCCCTAACCTTTAGACTTGATAGACCAGTGGCAGGCATGCTACTTTTTTATAAGCAGACAAACTCGCGTAGCCTATGCAGCCGTAGATGTTGGTGTAGAACTTTGCAAAGTTGTTAGCCATAAGGTTGGCAGCCGGATGCCTTACTTACAGAAGCAGACAAGTCCGCGTAACCATTAGGTTGTTAACCTTGACTTTCTTCAATTCCGTAGGTTGCGTAGCAAGTATCACAACACGTTAAGACTTGGTGTAGGTTGTTCCGCGCTTGGCAGAGGTAAAGCTTATCGACTACGTAGCATGTCGGCAGTGGATAAAACTTCGTATATGCGCGCTAGCTTGTTTAACCTTTCACAAGAATGTGCGGTTGTATAAGTCTAACACGGCTTTACTGCTCGAAGGGCAAGCCGTAGGCAGTCTTCCGGAATCCGTAGGCTACCTTAGTGCACTCGGTAGCAGCTTTAGGATTCCAGGGCAGCCGTCCATCGGATGTACTGCGTAATGTGCCCTCTTCGTCTCTAGGGCCCGGTTCCCCACGGATTAGGCCAGGAGACCCAAAATCCTTCAATTAGCTAAGCCTTGAAAAAGACCATTGCGACTACTTCTAGGAATCCCGGCGCAAGCCATCGTGCATCTAGTTATACTAGGGCAGCCAGGCTCATCCACGTCTGGATATTCGGAGTGTAAAGTTTATCCTCCCATCTTGGAGAGCTAACCCATATGGGTGTCGGGGAATTGGTTTACCCTCTCACACTGAAGAGCATGGTTGGTCCCTCGGGGGGCGCAATTCTTGCGATGAGTCCCTAAGAAGGGCGCAGTCTTCTTTTGAAGTGCATGAGTGATTAGTTGTTGTAAGCATGCAGCCAAGCTAAGCCAAGTTGTGATTACTTCTAAATTCCTCATTGAAAAAACGAGTGAAACAAACGATAACTTTAGCTGTAAGGTAAGAACTGCATAACAACTGGATAATCCTCAGCTTGTGAGGTGGTGCCCGTCGAGCTTTTTGAGTCTTCGGGTTTTGATGTAGCGGGAGGTCACACATGGTACTTCTTCAGATTTTAGGCCATCCACTGCCTTTCAATCTTTTTACCGTTTCATGGTGGCGAGGGTGTAATTACTCTTACCGCCTACTCTGCTGATCTTGTACAAACCTTCCCAGATGAGATTCGTCTTTTTGGATCCTTCTCTGCAGGCAGTGATGAGGGCTTTTCTGCGCCGTCGACATGCAAATGCCAGAAGTTTCCATCGGGTGGAGTAGGCGCGACTAGAGTGTGCTCGGCTACTTCTGATGCATCGTTGGGCCGCTCTATTGTGTCACCTAGGCTCGGCGTGAAGGCGCAGTAGGGAGCTGTGGAGATGAGGCCATGTCATACGCAGCAGGAGATGCACAACTGCCGGTATTGGGCCACTCTAGAGTTGAATCATTGAGCAAGGGTCGGCTAGGGCCGTGTGGTGTGCAGCAAGAAGTGGTACTCAACTGCCGGTACATGTTGCTCCAATGTAGAATCTTTTAGGGTGACGAGGACAAAACTTGCTTCTGAGTGTGTCCTTCCAGTGTTGCGTTCGTCAGAAAACTTTACATCTGCCGGGGTCTATGCCTTTATCGTCGCGCGTCTGGATTGGGCAGAATAGTACGTCATGAGGATGACTGCATGCGTTTGAAAGTAAAACTTGTGCTTCTGGGTTGCAACAACTATTGCCAAA